AGATGTACAGGCCAACCCCCCCCCCTTTTGCCTGTTCACTCTGTCACATCTGTATAGGTTGTAACCTGGGATCATATTTCGTTGTCCAAGTGATCCTTTTTGGGTCTCAGTGAAAGCCGCGAACATTGCCTTTGCCTCTGCAAGCAGTCCAGGGTTTGAAAGGTATTTTGTTGTTTGTTGCTGGTTTTTAGACCCTGTATATTTGCAAAGAAGAATGTTATCGGACTGGTGGTATTTTTTGGTACTGGGGGGGGATTTTTTTTCCGGCATTAGTATCTGTATCTGTTGGTTTGGAGTGGGGGCCATCGACTGTGGTTCCACTCCAGGAATGACTGGATTTGGTGTACGATTTCTGCCATTTCCTGCCAGTTTTTTTTCCTTCCTGGCACTAAAAAACCTCTCCCTCTTGAGGGGCTGTGGCTACCAGGTTTTCCCATGGCCTGGATGTTTTGTATCTTTTTGTCCCCTTTAGAGGGTTTATGCCCTGGCAATTAAGTTATAGCACAGTCTTTCCTGTACTGAAGAGGTACAAAATTTCAGGGTGAAAAACTTACAGGAAGGGAGTTTGCATTTTCCTGTTGTCCATATGGGAAATGGCATTTTTCTAGGGTGGTCATATTGCATGTCCCTTCTGTTTTTCCAGATTTTCCCATGCCAGCAGATACCAAGTGCATAGTATGTGCACAGGCTTGGTTTCCGCTTGCCTTGGGTTTCTGTGACTGTATTCCCTGTTGGTGCATGTTTCCCTGTCTTACTTCTATCCTCCCTAGCACCAACAATGGAGCTCCCACCAGTTGTTTTTGGTAATTTATCCTCAACTATTGCTATTGGAGTCCTCTTGTTTGCTATTTCCTGGGGTATTTCTAGTTTGCAATATTGGTTTTATCTTATCTTTGACTACACTTGTTTCCCTACTATGGCTCCTGCCCCCTATAAAGGTCATTTATTTGTATTCCTTCCTGCGTATAATTCCCGACTACCTGGACAAAATCTCCAGCTTCACCATTACTGTCTCCCAGGACAGTATCCCCAAGCTTCGTAGATGAATGGTTCAGAGAACCGACATGTTGAAAAAATTAGCCCACATGTGCAAGAAAACCCAAGAGTTGCACATGTGTCTAATTTATCAACATCTCCAGCTTAAACCATTTCTGTCTCCCAGGACAGCCCCTCCAGCTTCACCATTACTGTCTCCCAGGACAGCACTATCAGCCCCACATTTACTGACTACCCAGGAAAATCACCTCCAGCCTTACAGTTTGTGACTACATGGCCAGTACAAGGGCAGTACCATTTAGCCCAGACTTTTTATGTTCCCATCTGTTGTAGAAAGCTTCCAGGTTTTCTATGAAAGCAGCTTTGATGTTGTCCTCTTTAATACCCTTGTGATTTTAGTCCACAGATTTTCGTCATTTGGGGCATACCCAAAAACACTTCCCTGTTTTAATACTGCTTGTAGCTAGTTTCTTGGGATATCTGCACAAGGAGCGTGACACCAATTTTCCAAAAAATGACAATTTTTTCCATGTGGAAGCCAGTTTGTTTGACTGACCACAGCTACACACATTATATTGTGTGTGGGTTGGTTAATTGCATTTGAAGCCTATCAATTACCCGAGGGCTATTAAGACTGTAAGTAACCTGTATACTAGTCAAGAATACTTTAATACTTAAAACAAGAGATCACACTTCTCGATGTTATGCTTCAATATTTACATAACTTAAAACCAGCGCACACTACAAAATATAAACATTTTTTGTAAATATGAACACTGTTAAAATGTGAACACCTATTTAAATATGAACAAACCATACCACGGGAGGGAAAAAGAACCCGCGATCAGATAGTCTCAGAACTTCAACCGTCGCGTTAGCCCCCTGGACCAGCTAGCCACAATAAGATTCGTCCAGCTAGGTATATTTCTACACCATGGGAAAGGGTTAGCATAGGCACCACTGTAACCACAAATACTACATATTTAGTTTATATTGGCATGGTTATTTTCCTACCCAACATTTAGAACTTTGCATTTGTCTATATTAAACTGCATCTGCCACTTCTCCGACCATTGCATCAGTCTATTCAAATCATCCTGGAGTGCCTAGTGTCCTCATTAGAATGAATTGGAAAGTCCTATTTTGGTGTCAGCAAATTTGTTATGTCGCATTTATTCCCTCATCTATGTCGTTTATGTAAATTTTGGGGAACAACAACGGGCCCAACACTGACCCCTGAGTAACACCGCTTGTGGCGTGCCCCCATTCTAATTTCTCCCCATTTATGCAAACTCTCTGCTGCCTATTTGTCAGCCATACCTCTACCCAGGAAAAAATTTCTCCTCCTATCCGCTTTTGTCTTTTAAATTTTCCTCAATAGCCTCTGATGTGGAACTCTATGGAAATCCTTTTCTGAAGTCCATATACACAATATCATATTCATTACCATGATCTACCTCCTCAACACCTTAGTGAAAAAAAGTTAGTAAATTCGTTTAAAACAGGAACCCCCTTTCTAAAACCGTGTTGGATTTATTAATCAATCTGTGCCTATCAAAATGGCTACGAATTGGTTCGGGGAATTATTAATTCCATAAATTTTTCCCGGGTATGGAGGTAAGGCTTATTGGTCTATAGTTCAAAGCCAAAGGACCTGTCACCTGCCTTGTAAATAGGTATTACATTTGCCATTTTCCACTTATCAGGCACTATGCCAGTTTGTAGTGATATGTTTTAAAAAAATTAGCCAAAATGTATTGCTAAGTTCCTCTTTTCATTCCTTTAACACCCTTGCAAACAGTTCATCAGGGCCTGGGGGTTTGTTAGGTTTTAGTTTCTCTATTTGTCAGAGGACATTGTCACTAGTACTGCACTCGTGGGATAGTTTATTATCGTCCTGTTCTACATAATCTATTTCAGGAATATCGCTAGTATTTTCCTGGGTGAAAACTGAGAGGAAGTAGGTATTTAGAATTTCACACATATCCCTATCTGACCAGAGTTACTCTTAAGTGGGCCAATCTTGTCCCTAATCTAACTTCTGTAGGGGTTTTTCTTTGAATCCCTTGTGACCTTAGCCTCATAGTCCCTTTTTGCTTTTCCTATTCCTTTCTTCATTTCTCTTTTTTAATTGAATATATTGATTTCTAAACTTCCCATCCCCTCTTTGATACGCCTATATATGCCTCCTCTTTTGACCAATGAGATGTTTTAATTTATTGTTATCCATTAGAGATAATTTTTGTTAGATCTAATTTCCCTACTCGGAACAAAAGTTTTTCTGGGCAGCTAGAACTATGCTCTGAAAAACGTCATATTTGGCAACCAAGATCACCTATCTGCCGTATAGTCAGGACATTCCCAATTTAGCCCACCCAGGTAATTGTGAATGACACGATGGAAGCGATAGACTAATTTACCTGAAGTTAATGAGTAGAACTCAATCGGGGGAGGGTCAGCATTACTAAAAAGGGATCTGCACAGGCTGCAGGCTTGTTCCAGTAACTGGTTGCTGGAGTTCAACCCCAACAAGTGCAAAGTCATGAAGATCAGGGAAGGGTAAAGAAGAATACAGAGTTCAGTCTAGGGGGCCAAAGACTACAAACCTCGCACAAGGAAAAGAATTTTGGGGTGACCACATCTATTGAGGAGCACATCAACTAAATAACTGTTGCAGTACATGGGTAACTAGCAAACCCAAGTGTAGCATTCCAACATCTCAGAAAGGAATCGTTCAGGACTTTGTACACAGTGAAGGTCAGGCTCATATTGGAGTATGCAGCACCAGTTTGGAACCCACACCTGGGCAAATACGTAAGGAAATTAGAGAAAGTACAAAGGATTGCAACGAGACTACTCCCGGAGATGAATGCATGTCCTACGAGGATATGCTAAGGGAAATAGACCTGATGACACTGGAGGACAGGAGGAATAGAGTTAGGGGAACATGATTACGTGTAAAATACTGAGAGGAATCGACAACGTGGACAAAGACTGGATGTTCCAGAGATGGGACAAGGCAACAAGGGGTCACAGTTGGACGTTAAAGACAATTGTGTTGCAGTGGTCTTAACAAAAGGTTTGAGCAGAGGTTATCAAAGATTTGCTACGTTGTACCATGAATTAAGGAAAGATACTAGACTTCACCTTACGAAAGAAGAAAAAAATATGGGATAGTAATTATGGACAAGGTAGATTATAAGGGAAAAATAAACGTAATATTAGGAACAAAACTCAGGCGCCTCTTAATGAGGTAGGGGAAGCACAGACTGAAGCAAGAGAACGCTTTTGAAGAAAACGTGTTGGCGAGGCTAGGAAGGGTACTTAATGGCCGCACAACCAAGCATCATCAACACTCTGGTATGTGAGCACAAACTCCGTACTAACCTCCTCTTCAGTTAAAAGCACTGAACTCTGTTAGCCATATCTGCACGGCCTATATTTTAAATAATAATAACGTTAATGACGGTCCTCCATTACGGAGAGACACTTTGTAAATCTACAGCAGCTGTGTCATATCTACACTGGAAGGTTTTTCACAACCGAAACAGGCAACCGAAAGTGTGAAATAACACACAAGTGCAGAATTAAAATATTTTAAACTAGGAACCTTTCGCCATGAATGGTTTCTTCAGTCCTGAAGAAGTCATTGATGGGGACAAGTGTCCTCAACTTGATACCCTTATATTGCACATGTGTCTTATTGCACATTTGTTGGTATTTTATACAATATCTTAACCAGAAAAGGAAGAGTTCAGGTATCCTTAACAATGTTTGACGTTGAATACCAATAGTAAATGTAGTGAAACCATATTTAGCTAATGTTAAAATATTAAAAAAAAAATCATCAGGAATAAGAAAGCAATTTCAAACCAAATGCTTCCAGATTTATCTATACTTTTAACGTACAGAGAAAAAAGCACAGAAAAAGGAAATTATCTGATTTGCAGAAAACTCTAACATAGCAAGATATCTGCACCTCACCTGAGAGGTTTCTGGATAGTTTACAAGGTCAAGGATGTGCAGCGGGTCTTCGTGGTGACGTTCCAGAGACAGTAATATGTCAAAGAGACGCCGAGGCTGGATCTGGAAACAAATGTCCAGGAAAGTTTAAATTTCACATACACACATATATAATAATCTGCCTAATAAACAAGAAATATTTCATGTTCAGAAGATGTATAGAAAGCAAAGATAGATAGATAAACTACATTTTTATAATTATTATTATGATATAGTAATGATAATACTACTAAGAATATTATTATAATTATTACTATTATTGTAAGTAGTAGTAGTAATAGTGGTAGTAGTGGAAACAGTAGTTGAATAACATTAGAAGTAGTCGTATTAGTAGTAGTAATGGTGGTGCTGATGTTAGCAACTATGGTGGTGGTGGTGGTGGTGGTAGTAGTAGTAATAATAATAATAGTAGAAATGGTAAGTAGTTGTTGTAGTTGTACTTTTAGTATTTAAAATAGAAGAGGTAACCGAAGTAGTAGAGGTATTATTATCAGTAGTAGTAATAGTAATGGTTAGAAGCAGTAGTAGCAGCAGTAATTAGTTATTTATGTTGTGTTGTAGTCATAATATTAGAAATAGTAGTGGAAGTAGCAGCAGTAGTGATAGTAGCTGTAGTTGTAGTAGAGCAGCAGTCATAGTAGTTGTAGAAATAGTACAAGTCATAATAGTAAAAGTAGTAGTAGTCGTAGTAGTAATATTGCTGGTGGATAATAGTAGTAGTACTTATAGTATTATAAAGACTGGTAATAGTAATGAAGCTTTTATAAATAAATGAACGTTTAAGTAGATCACATTACAATAAGAGTGCAGCATTATGCTGTCTACTGTAAGACCATAATCATAACATTTCTTTGAAAGCCAATGAAAATACAACATTGAAAATACAACATTGAAAATACAACATTGAAAATACAACATTGAAAATACAACATTGAAAATACAACATTGAAAATACAACATTGAAAATGCAACTCTGAAAATGCAAGCATTGTCAATGATATAATTGCTACTCTAATACGGAACATCTTATTACTACTCCAGCGTTACGAGTTATTACAGGGTTGTAGCAGTAGTAGCAGTAGAAGTAGTAGTAGTAGCAGTAGTAGTAGTAGTAGTAGTAGTAGTAGCAGTAGTAGTACTAGTAGTAGTAGTAATAGTAGTAGTAGTAGTAGCAGTAGTAGAAGTAGTAGTAATAGTAGTAGTAGTAGTAGTAAAAGTTTTAGTACTAGTAGCATCGGCAGCAGAAGGCAATAATAGTTGCAGCGGTATTAGCACTAGTTATAGTAGTAGTGATAGTGGCAGTTTGTGGTAATAGTAATAGTAGAAGTTTTATATTCATTAACAATAATAAGTAGTGATAATATTAGTAGTAGCGATAGTAGTGGTTGAGGACAGAGGTAGTAAAAGCATTAGTTAAAGTAGTGGTAGTACGGGTAGTTTGTAGTAGCAGTAGTGGTTATAGTAGGTAAGTAGTGGTGGCAGTAGTAGTAGTAGCAGTACTAAGTGGTTGTAGTTGTAGTAGTAGTGGTGGTTGTGGAAGTAGTAGTGGCAGTAGTAGTGTAGTCTTTATACTACTGCAGATGCAGTAGTATAAAGACAAAATATGACAAAACCCTCTTGGTTAGTTAGGGACTAATTTGATTAACTCTTTAAGTTGGGAACATTTATGCATGAAGACATCAGTTGAACCTTACACAAGGAAACGAACCTTATTGGCATCTCCGTAAATAGCAGTCTCATCCATGTCTAGGATGGAAGCAACAGAACCCAGCATCTGCAGGACGAAGGGTTTACGGTGGAGGATATATAGCTGCTTAACAATGAACTCGATCACAGTCACCACCATCTGTTGCTCTGGTAGTTGCTGTATATTCTTAAAATTGTTGGCATGATGTGTAGATACCTGGGATAAGGAAAAGCGGCCATCAGGACTCCGAGGTATACCACTAGTAAACAAATATCTATAAACAAATTTAGGTATTTAATTTTAGCATCCATGGACTGAAACAATATTCATATTCTAAGAATACATTACGGATTTTTTTTTCTTCAGTATCTGGAAATATTTAAGTCTTTTATAATTATTTACGGTATGCACAGATTATTATAATAATAAAAGCGCTAACCCGTATAGGTCATACTGCACAATATTGTATGAGTGAATGAGATTAAAATACATTAGACTTATATAAAATTTGGTGAATATATAAAGAAAAAGGGACGTCAGCACAGGATTGCATTATGAGTAATTGTTACAACTTTTACATAAGTCTCGTATAAAGTATGATGATCCTGCAAAATGCAATACCCCCTCCCCTCCCCTCCTTGAGAATGCAGGTACTATACAGTCCGCCTCCAGGACTCAAGTCCGGCTAACTATTTCTTTGAAACCTTTCATAAACGATATCCTGTTCGCACTCAAGCGGCACATCAGATCATAGAAACTACTCAATCCAATGCAACACACTCACACAAAGTTATTGGTGGCCACATCCCCTCCCGTCAACCATTCAACGGTATGATTTTACATAACTTAGTCATCCTACAATATATTATTCACTCGTATTTAAATATCTTAAACTACTTTACCTTCCCTTTCCTCAGCCATCTGAGTAACAACACTCTTGATAACTCTACATCTATACCCAATCTCCGATTTCTCTGCATACTATTCACACAACACATTGCCTTCAAACACGACGTCTCCGCTGCCTCCGATCTTCTTGCTGCAACATTTAAAACCCCAGACTCATATCTATACAATATTTTTTCTTACCGCTATGCTCTGGTACATTTGACTTTTTGCTTCTATGGATAAATTTCTTTGTCACCACGGATGCTTCGGTGAACCTCTCTTTCTTTTTCCTTCGTCCAGTTCTATGGTTCGCCTCATCTTATATACTCCCTCCAATCCGATATTCAGTCTCTCACTGCCTCCATCTTTTGTTACTCTTATCCTGCTCCTTTCCTACATTCACTTTTAATTTCCTTCTATTACATATCATACGAAATTACTCCACCAAACTTTGCAACATCTCGAAATTTTAACTCGTGACAACTGCAACACTGTGATTAATTAATTATCATTTAATTTTACATGTCACCCCAACATCTAAGTATTCACTTCATTACAGCTCGATATATAAATATGTTATAACAACAATGGTAACATAGATCCCTCTTTAATGCCTACTTTTACTGGAAAATAGTTCCCCTCTCCCGTAATCCTAGCCAAAGCCTCATTATTCCATCAAAGTTCCTTATTGCTATCAGTAGCTTGCTATCCCGTCATATACTTTTCCTAAACGCACTAATGCTCCCCAGATTTCCTTACCTTTATCTTAGTAATTAGTTACAATTTTCAGTATAAAAACTTGGTCTACACATCCCATACCTTTCATTTATCCTGTTAGTTTCTCTGTAATCGTACGTTTTGTCTTTCTCTAAATTCTGTCAATACACCTAGTAAAGTGTATGGCAGAATTATTCCTTATTTCCTTATACAAAGGAGCTATATATGCTCTCTGACAATCCTAAGGTGCTCCATCCTCTTCCATAAAGTTCTGAACCATTACAAAGCTATTGTGGATTTTTTTTATATAATTTTCCTAACTGTGAAGTATATAAATGTAATTAGAAGTGATGAGTGTAAAACTGTGACACTAAGCTGACCTAAAAAATTCGAAGAAAGGGGGCACCAACGTCGCATAGTAAATACACAGGGTAAGACGCCATATTTGAGTAATCTGAGAACACCCTTGTTACAATTTGCGAAAGGAAATCTGGCGTTTATCGAGGCCAGTTTTGGGAATATTGGCCTCGATCCACAGATCGATCCACATTAGCATCCCCCACAGAAGAATTTGTCTAAATTTTGGGTGTAACCACTATAACAGAGTAGTATGAATGAAAAAATGGAGGACACTGGGTCTTCTTTGCTGTATACCTTAGATAAGTAAACTCTACCCGTAAATTCTAGTAGTTTTGCGTTGGCCTCCGTAATTTCTAGGTTAGAGTAGCGTTAGTGTGTGTTTCACCACTAATATTGGTGGCGAGTGCTAATATTAAAATTTTTCTTTTTAGATAATTTGTATAATCTTTCTTCACCATACGCAGGTATAATGTTAATAATATAAAGTAATGGACTCAACATCTTATTCTTTCAGGTCGCAAAATAATATACACAGTCAACTATTTTATAATTTACCAGAGTTACTGGTATTAATTTTATTTATCTTTAATATTCCGAGTCCCGACTTTACCTGTGAGTTATCCTAGGTAACTGTATTTGTGTATACCTAAACTTACATATTTACTTAGTTGTACCTCCCTTAAATTGTGTGGATTAAATATTTCAGGAATGTACCTGTTAATATCACTCCATAATTTCCCACAGCTATATTCCCCAATGTATCGCTGTAGACTAAAGCATTTCACCCCTCCATGTAAGCTGTGTACATTTAATAACACATACTTGAAAATCTCTCCCAACAAGATCATCACTAGTAATTCCTTCCTTAAATCACTTGCAAAGGCAACTGCTCAGTAAGAAATTTCTCTTTTATCTCTTAATTCTATATATATCACAAATTAAATCCACTGCTGATCTAAGCAGGAATCTACTGGCCGAACTGCAATCTGCGCTTCTTGCCACCTTCCTAGTTAAGAACGATATGAACTATGTTAAGTTAAGCATAAGAATTAACAGCAGGGAGTCTACACTGCAAACTGAATTGTTTGCCATCCTGATAGCACTAAAGTTAACTTATGACACTGAGCTTGACTCAATGATTATTTCTGATTCTGTCATCACTGAAGGCTCTTGACTCACATAATGACTAAATAACATACTCATTGGAGAAGCCAGATATAGATACTAAAAATTCGAAGAAAAGGGAATTAAATTACAATTTTTATGGATCACGTTACACATTGCATTACTACTTCACGATAAAAATTGATAAGTTAGCCCCCCCCCCAAAAAAAAAGGACCATGAATGAAAATTGCAGTATATAACTTCGGTAAGTCTGTGACTTGCAAACGGGCTTTTTTTATGGATTATGTGTAACTTCTGTTGGAACTGGGCCCATACATCTTGTGCAGATATTCAGGAATCATCTACAAGAGATATTAAACCAGGGAAGTGTTTTGGTATGCCCAAATGAAACCAACTGTGGAAAAAATCACATTGGTAATAAAAGACGGAAACATCAAAATGGCCTTCATAGAAAACATGACAGCATTTTATAACAGATGGGAAAATAAAAGAACTGAGCCAGATGGTGCTATTGCCCCTGTTGAAGATGCTGTGCTGGTAGTTAGTAACTGTAAGAATACAATACAGAATTGAACGTTGGTGGTTCGGAGGGAGACAGAAGCTCTAGTGCAGAAACAGGTGTAGACAAGGACATACAAAACCCAATGTTACAAACTAGCAATAAGGGGATGCCCCAAGGAATAGTGAAGATAGAATACCAAAAAAGAGCGGTGAAAGCACAATTGTTAGTAACAAGTGTTGTGTGTTTAGACAGAAAAACACGCTGAAAAACCAAGTTAAGCAAAAATCAGACCAATGCAAATTCTATGCATTAGGTATATGCAGGCATGGAATATCTGGAAAACATAGATGGGACGTGCAACTTTGACCACCCCAGAAAATGCTGTTATATTATGAAAACAGGAAAAATGCAGAAAGAGAAAATGCATGGAAAGAAGATGTAAATAGAAACAGAAAGGTGCTCCTTTACAGGCGAAGGCAAATAATAAAAAGAGAGACTAGAAGAGGTCAATATATCTGTATTGCGAAGCGAGGCACTGGTCAGAGAAACAGCAAATATTGAACTAAAGCTAAAGGAATCTCACAGGAGTCAAGAAAAAGTGGGAAGAACTAAAAGCCATAAATGAAATTGAAAGAAACCCAAAATATTTCTTTCTTATGCCAAATCAAAGTCAGGAACAACATCCAGTATTGGGCCCATACATAGACGAGATGGGTCCTACACAAATGACAGGAAGGAAATGAGTGAGCTACTCATGTCCCAGTATGACTCGGTTTTTAGCGAGCTGTTAACCAGACTGAGAATCGAAGACAGAATTTGGTAGACTCAAACCTATCTGATATTATCCTGATGCAAAATGACTTTGAAATGGATATTATCCTATCTGATATTATCCTGATGTGAAATGACTCATGAACTCCGGGTTCATCAAGAATTGCAAGAAGCACCAATTATGTGCTTTTAAACATCCTATGGAGAGGGAACATGGACACAGAGGTCTTCTCACAGCCGCTAAAATCAACAGGGGGCAGTAAAGCAGCAGCAAAGAACTACAGACCGATAATGCTAACATCCCATATCATAAAAATCTTTGAAAAGGTTCTAAGAAGCAAGATCGCCACCTATCTAGATACCCATCAGTGTTTAATGAGATTATTTGGTGTAGCTGGTAGCGGGTGTGTGAATAATAAACGTCTTCGGAGGCTTCTTACTTTATTTGCAAAGTCGTGGTGGGTACACAGGCTTGTGTGTTGTGCCCATGGCCCAGGAGGCCATCCCACGAGAGGGAGAAAGCTAGTAGGCCTTGTGTTTTCCTGCTAGGCCGCTGTGAGAGTGAAAAAGTGTGGGGCCAGCTTCCCACAGACCTGGACAGGCCCAGAGGGTAGCACTTGAGTGGCGCGAAATATGAACTAAGCTGGCAGACAGCATAAGCTGTCTGTGCGGACAGAAACAGGCTGTCTACATTTGCTCGGCCACCCAGATGCGACAATGCTGGTGCTAAAAAAATATGGGTTTTCTCTCTCGTGGGAACAGGGCACAGAACACAAAATAAAAACATATATACATATGGACATGGAAAAAAAGCTTCCTACAGGGAGGGAAGAAAAAAACATGTGGGGTGTG